CAGTTACTTAACAAACGTGTCTGTGAAAAGCATTTTGATATAATTCAGTTCGGCAATGAAGGCAGAAGACTTCGATACTCTTACCCGTCCTTTCTTACTGACAATGAAATAGCTTATGGTGTGCCTCTGACTGCAACAGGTGAGTCAGTTTATTACTTTCAACCATGGTACATAAAGGAGAAGGAGACGTCTCTAAACATTCTTGGGCCCAAGTATTAACAAGATAAAAGTACGACCATTTGTAAGCATATATATAGACAATTCATAGCTGAAAATCTCGCAAGATTTGTCAATGTAGGAACTGAGTAATTGTAGAGTAGAGTATTTTTCACTATAATTACTTAAATATATAAATGCAGGATCGGTAAAAAATCACCAAAAAAGCTGTGGTTAATAATGAAATGAAATGGTAAAACGATTAATGAAAGTTAAAACAACAACAACTAAGTGAAGTGAATATTAGGGATTTTTTATAGGATAAGGGTGACAAACGAGCACATAGTCCACCTGATGGTAAGTGTTTGCTGTGGCTTATAGACCTCTACATCTATCTTCGATTACGAATCAAAATGCAGATGCGTTTAACCCGTGAGGACTAAGATGGAATGCCTCGTTTCCAGTAAAAAGGGGTCTCCGGTTCTCTACACTCACCATACGAAACACAGTGGCGTTAAGCTGCCATTTTATGCTGGTATTCTCTAAGAGTGTGGTCCCTCCCCAGTCGAGACGACCCATTCATGCTACAACTATACCAGTAATATACCTGCAGCATGGCTCTACCACTTACAAATGCCAAATAAGTTAGATATATGATAATATAGATCACTTTTTAATTACGATTATACTAAGCTGTCGTTAACAGTAGCCATACAGCGTTAATACATACAATACAGAAGTATACATTATATATTTATTCCTTAATTTTGGGTTTATGTATAAGAACAAAATTCACAAATATTGTTGGTTTTCAGGAATAGAAATCCAATGCTGATGTGGTGAGACAAATGTTGACAGAAGATACAAAATGTACACATTGGCTAAAAGGTATGATAAATTCAGTTTATTCTTAGACATAATTAGGTAAGTTTCAACTATCTATTATATCTATATTCAGCATATCTATCCTCAAATCATGATAAGAGTTCTGTGTTCTTCATCTAATCTAAAGATTACAGTTCCACTACACTTCAATAGTTTTATCAACAACTCCTTTAGTATTGAGGTTACACTTATTTGGAACTCCGTGCCTGAAGACATTGAGAAAGCTCCTGATAATGGGTGTATACAATGTTAATCGTTATATGTTTTTTGTTTCTTATTTACTGCATCTACCACTTTATTTTCACCACACCATGGGTTGACCAATAAACAATGCCAACTGCCATGAAGCCACCCTTTGTTACCTTAATATAAATAATATATAATTTATGATTATCATTAAGTCATAAAATATGAATATTTGACTTTATTTATATTTATTTCTTTTCAGGTTACGTAGTGTAGAAAATGAAATTAAATAAGAGAAGATGTTTTTTTAATTTTTGTAAAAGAATGGCTAGGTTTTTACCCCTGATGAAAAATAAATAGCATTGCTTCTGATAAAAAATAACTAGAAAAGTAAAATATTAAGCACTTAAATATGATTCCTGTGGTTTAATTTGCTTTATTTAATGAATTATAAATATTGCTCTGTTTCTCTTCAAATTGTACTTATTCATGTAAAATGTTATGTACAATTTTCTAATTTGTTTATATAACTTAATGTGCCTTTAATTTAATTCTAAGATTACATGTGTATGTATATGATGTTGGTGTGGTTTAATAAAAAATAAATAAGGTAGATGTATTATAATTGTTTCATTAAGTAATATTATTCCTGTATAAAGCACTTATGTTGATATCGAGAAAATAAGAACACCACTGAACATCGATATCGATAATTTGAAGGATGTGTGCTTGCAATCCCTAAGCTATACGTATAGTAGTCACTTTGACTAGAGAAAAACCGTAGACAGAGAAACCTATCTCTGTCTACGAGAAAAACTCTAGTCAAAGAGTAGTCATTACTCATCTATCAAAATAGGCGACTGCAGCGCCAAAAGGCGTAGTTGGGAAACTTGACTAAAAATCACTGTCGGTGTCGTATCTGTATCTATGCTACGTAGCACAGATAACTATATACACAAACTAATAAGAGTACAACTTTCAGTTTATACAAAGGTACTCTGTGAGTACAACCTAGAGTGGAACGGTTACGAAGGACGATCTTTCTCAGATGAGAAAAGAATAACCGCCGAATCCGTAAAGCGTACGCCCTTGACGTTTAAGGGCGTAGACGACATCCATGGCGGTGACGGTTTTCCTCTTCGCGTGCTCACTATATACTAGTCAGAGACTACGTAGTACTACTATTTATTCCTCCGATAGGAGTAATAGTGTTCTGTGATTTATTCTGTGCTGACGCGTGTATCTAGTTAGTTAGTGATATTATCTAATATTCTGAAAAACTTCGGTTAATTATTTCTCTATCTGGTCTGGTCTGTGATTTATTAATGAAAACGGAATTAGTATAAGATAAGATACAGGAATGGCCTTTAGTGAAATTTGTAGAATTTGTTTAAGCGTCAATGTACGCATGTTTATATTAAAGAACACTGGTCTCCAGAATTTGTTTAACACATTAAGGAACGGGTTTGTAAGTTTGAATTTGATAATACATCATAATACATCCCAATTTAAAGTTGTTATCACTGGATTTATATATATATATATATATAACTTACCTGATATAAAATGCGATAGATCAGGGTTAGACTAAGATGCACCGTTAAATAAAGTGACAAATACAACCATGATGATGAGTTGATGTTATGACCAGGATTAAGAAAGGAATGCTTCGGTGGTTTGGTAATGTAGTAAGAATGAGTGAGGAAAGAGTGACAAAGCAAATTTATATTGCGGAAGTGAATGAAAGAGTCTGAAAGGTACGTCCTAGGCGAAAGTTTATCGACCAAATTGGTGATATATTGGAAATGGGCCAAATTAAGAGTACCCTTAACCGACGAGCATGTATGCGTAGGCACATGAATGTGGAGGAGGCGAGAGAGGTGGGTCAGGATTGTGCCAAATGGAAGTCTGTAGTCTCTGCCTACCCCTCTGGGTGACAGGCGTGAGTGTTTATGTATTATGTATGTAAATACAACCAGAACCTGAAAAACAACAATTAGCCTTGAACCCTGGATCACATTAAAACCACTAGTTTTTTTACCACTTAAAGCCCGTCTATTGCACTATTAACCCTTCAATCCCCATAAAAACCGCATGCATTCGGCGAATCCCGAGCGGTCGCATGTGACCGCATCCACCCACAGCAATTTAAACCATTAAAACTTATATTTAGAGACTACTTTTCTGTGAAGCAATTTGGTATTATGAAATCTTTACAAAATTCTCTTTCCTGTTAGACCACATACCATAAAATCTTTTTGTAATGAATTACAAAAAGATTTTATGGTATGTTGATAACAAAAAAAACTATATCCCAAGAAGATGTCGGCAGCGTGAAAATCACAATTATTTCTATATATTACTCGAAATTATTTACGTAAAAAGATAAATTGTAGTCACACAAAAACTTTCATTACAATTTTATAGTAAAACACCATACTAAAACACTAATAAAACACCAGAAAAATCCAAAAATCAAAACAGTAACATGTACACGAAAATGGCATACGAAATGAACGTAGATTATTAATAAATATCAATAAACTAAGTAACTGATTATTCCACTAGGGGATAGAAAATTTCATATTGATTTTAAAATGTCAAACTTCTTCATAGAAAAGTAGTCTAAACATAAGTATTTATGGGTTAAAGTGCTGTGGGTGGGTGTGGTCACATTTGACCTCTTGAATTTTGACAGAAAATCAAAGCAGTTTGCTTGCTGTTTGAGAGGTTAAGTTAGTGCACATGTGCTTTAAGATGTAGAAATTACCTCACTCATATTGACTGAGAAATCAGAAGAGGGAATAAATTGCACATCTACTTGCTTGCACATACATGTAATATAATACTGTCCTTAGCTGATGAATAGTCTCCCAAATTAATTCAACGGGAGACCATATATACTGGTAGAGTGGCTTTCAGAGTGGTTAGTTTAAGTGTTGTCACATGTTCCTGAAATGGGATGTTTTCAATGCTATAGGAACTTTTCAATCCTTGAATCCTTTCTGCCTTGAACCACCTAACTCAATATAATTTGGAAGGTAATTCTAAAATAGGTTGAATATATATTTTATGTATCATTTCTGGTATTATTATTATTTGCCATAGTTGCTAGGTGGGTTGGCAACTGCAGATTTTTTCTTATTCTGACCTGTTATGTGCAAAATGATGCTGCCCATATGTATTTAAGACTAAGTGATAGGGTGTAATAGTGAAAGGTATGGACTGCAAACTCCATAAAGTAATAAGTTCATATCTGCCATTTGACTATTGTTGTAAATTACTCCTAGTGCAAACATTTTCAGTTTACTTGCAGCAAATAAGAGAAGTATTTGTAATGTTAATAGTGAGGTATTTTAAAATTTTTAACATAGGCTTATTGGATTGAATTTTGAAAGCCCAAACTTGTAAATACCTTTGTCAGGGTCCCAAGAGTGTGAATCTACTGCTTTTAAAATGATATCTGTTATGGTGGCACTTCACATGGCTATTTGTATTTGCGTATTTGGGGTATTCGACAAATAACTTCCATGTGTGGAGAGTATATTTGCCATAATTATTGCCGTATTTGCCTATTTGGCAAATATAGCCAATAACAAATACGGCTTACCGATCGTCTGTCGGTTTTTTAAGGCACATCAAAGGAGACAAATAGGCAAATACGCAAATATACTGGCCACACATGGTCGGGCTCATAAGCGCGCGAACTGTCAACCAGTACGGACGGACCTGTTTATAACCTTAATAAGTAATTATTTAGATACATACGGAAAATGAATTGGGACAAAGAAACCGTTGTAAGGTTTTTAGAACTTTACCAAATGAACCCATGCATTTGGGACCCTGGAAACGAGGGGCATAAAAACCGGCAAAGAGTAAACGACGCGTGGAATACAATTAAAGACAATTTGGGTGTACCATGTACCCTGCAAGATTTAAAAAAAAAGAAGGAGTCGCTTATGTCTGCGTACCGAGGTTACAAAACCAAAATAAAGAAAAAGCGAACGATCCGGATCAGGTGCATCCGATGTGTATCAACCAAGTTGGTTTGCATTTGCATTCATGGATAGTTTTTTGAATTCTGTTTATACCTGCAACAGTACCATAAACACTGTGGTAAGTAATAATACATTTATAGAAGACAATTTCTTTTTGTATATAGAATGGGCCCACCACAAATTTTAGCTACAATTAATGAAATGCATGTCAATTTATTCCTTATCATCTATAAATTACAAAATTAATATTAGTTTTACCGCATCTAACGGGAATACTGAAAAATTAAAAATAAAAATATGAATATCACAATAACCTATAAACAAACTAAAAACTATTTTCTAGTAGTATTCACCGATATTATGAGTTAGAATAGTACATATTATAGAATAGAATAGCTTAAAATTAGTATAAAACAAAGTTGTAGGTTCATTCAGCGTTTATAGGTACTTTAAGATTGATGGAAAATCTTTTTAGTAGGTCTGGCAAAAAATGGTGCACAGCAGACAAACAAACATGGTGTGGAGACTATTTTTACATAGTTAATTAATTAGTGAATATACATCACAAACACCACTACACTAATTAAATAAATATGATTAAAGCCAAGATGAATAAGGGATAATATGTCCATTTATAATATTACCTTTACATGCTAAGCTAGCTAAGCTAGTAAGAAAGATATTTTAAACTGGTTGTATGATGATAAAAACACAAAGTAAAATACCACTGTATGTATTACTGTAATCATTTCCAAAGTAGTTTGTCTAGTGGTTGTAGTAGTGCGACTGCTGATCATGAGGTCCCGGGTTCGAATCCCGGGTCGGGCCAAAAAAATCAGTTATTGAGTTTTTCCATCAAGAAATTCTCAGTATCTGCCTGGAGTCAGGAAGTTGGCGGTGTTTCACCCCCGTGCCTCGGAAAGCACGTAAAGTCGTTGGTCCTACGCCCGATCTCTCTCCGGTCGTGTCGGTTTACCGTCCCATCGGGCTATGAGAGTGAGGGAATAGAGAGTGCTCCTGTGCTTGCGCATACACTTGGGCACTATAATCCTGTCCTGCGCAGATGGCTAGTCTCCGTTGAGGCTGGCCGCCGTGGCCGAAATTCGGTCTGGAGGACATTATTATTATTATTATCTATAAAAAAAATATAACTACCTATAAATTTTATAATAATAATTTTATTTTATTTTCAAATAATAAACAGATAGGTAAGTTTACAGATCAATCAGTTTCATGTATTATAAAAGTAATTAGCAAAGTCGTTTCTGATTTCGACTGGATTCCTTGGAGATCTTCTAGGAATGTTACGAATATCACGCAGTGCTGGGTTGTTGGGAATATCGGCCCTCCATGACCCTGGTATTATTAAGTCGTCTCCATCATTCAGGTCGAATGTACCAGGTGGATTATATACATTTCTAGACAGTCTACTTCTTCTCAAAAAGTTGTGTAGAACTACACACGCCATGACTACTTGGCTAGCTGATTCAGGTTCAAGTAGCATAGGCGAACGTAGCACTCTAAATATAGCAGACATAACACCAAATACATTTTCAACGATAACACGGGCTGATGAAAGCTTCTTGTTGAAAATTCTTTCTTTGGTGCCTTCTCGATGATTCCCTGGATATGGTTTCATGATATTGTTATGTAAGGCAAATGCTCCATCACCTAAGAATACATATGGCAAGTCACCATTTCCATTTTGTAGTGGAATTGGTGCTGGTAGCCCCAACGTATTATTGTTTATTTTATTCCACAGAACGGAGTTTTTCAAAACGCCTCCATCACTTATCCTCCCTTGACATCCCACGTCGGCATACATAAAGCAGTAATTACTATCAACCAAAGCTAATAAAACGATGCTAAAAGATTTTTTGTAGTTGTAATATTCTGAGCCACTGTTAACTGGAGACTGTATCACTACATGTTTTCCATCTATCGCACCTATGCAGTGCGGGAAACGTTGATGGAAGCCACCTTCTATGTCCAACCAGTCTTGTTCTACCACGGGCAACTGTAACAAAAATATTAATGTTATTTATACTTGCAGGATGAAGAACTTACGATTAATGAAGATCAAAACACAGAACAGGGCCCTATAGATCAAAATATTAGAAGCCAAGAACAACAGGAATTAAATTCAAATGAACAACAGGGTTCAACAGCAAGACCAATATTGCATAGAAGAAGACAAAATAATCCACCTGAACTTATAGAAGCGAAAAAACGAATGGATGAAGCATATAGTTTTATGAAGCAACATTCCCAGCTGCAGCTAAAGGATGAAGATGATGAATGCTCTACCTTTGGGGTACTTGTGGCTAGAAAGCTACGAAAACTTTCTGAACAACGCCGAGACATCATGATGGCAAAAATACATGAGCTATTTGTCGATGAACACGTCTACAACTTCAATTTGCCTAATTATTCTTCCAGTCGCCCAAATTCTGCTGCAACAATGCTATCATACACACCATCACCACCCCAAATCAATATCGCATCTCCGTCAGCGGTTGCAAGTTCGCCAAAGGTTGCATATCCGACAGATGTGGCATCTCTGAATTCTGCTACCAGTCAACCTAATTCTGATGCAACAATGTTATCGTATACACCATCACCACCGCAAAGCAATATCGCATCTCCTCCACAGGTTGCATTTCCGACAGAAGTGGAATATCTTAATTGTGTTAACAGTTATCCAAATTCTACAAAGGTTTTGTATACGTCATCTTCACCGCAAATGGATGCTCCTTCTCCTGCATATCATGTTGAATACTCAGAATACTCTAATGATACTCCTTTGAATCTACCGAATCCTACTTCTAGAATGGTGTCGTATACACCATCACCATCGCAAATACCTCGAGGGAAAAATAATTAATAGCATATTTAATACCTACTTAAAAATAATTTGATTACGATTAATAAAAGTTAATGAAAATTATATATGTTGTTTACCTTGATTTGATCCTTTAGAACCTGATATAAAGCAGCACACACTTCCATTATAATTCTTGAGATTATTTGACTTGATATCTTGAAGGTATAGTGAAGGCTTCTATAACTGTCTCCTGATGCAAGGAATCGTAAAGTAATCGCTAATCTAACTTTTGCAGGTATAGCTTCTCTCCATTTTGTATCCTTTTTAGAAATTATGGGATGGACTTTTTGTAACAAAAAAATTAAAATCTGCATAAGACATTCGGCAGAAATTATCAAACTCGTTAGAGGGTTCTGCTAACATTTCTTGAAACCTTGTCTCCATAGATTCCCTGGAAATATAAATAACTTTTATTGTGTATTTACAACCTAAAACCGAGGAGTCTCTTAGAGATAAATTTAAAGAAATTAATATATTAACTTTGGCCTCTCAGTATATTTACCAAAATTTTATGTATGTTCACAAGAACATAGACAGTTTTAGTAAAAAGTGATATACACTCTGTAAACACTAGGAACAAACACAAGCTAGTGACCTATATCTCGAGTCCATAAAGTCAGTAACCCGTTCTTGGGGCAATGTATACGCTATTACTATGGAGTGTCTACTCTACACTCCATAGCTATTACCAAGTTTAAATATTTAATTAATGAAAAACTCTATAAAAAGGGCTAATATAAATGAATACATGGTTGATAATAAACCCTGGGAACGAGGTAGTCGCTTGCAATCTGTTTCTAAAATAAATTGTAAATAGTTTGTAACCATTTATATTGTAAAATTTATTTTAAAAAAATCCTGCTGGATTTCTTGCTAGTTCTTCTCAGGACAGAGGGTTTTTTTTCCAACCAGTGGTAAAGTAAAAAAATACTTTCAATAAGAATTACACATGTGATCTATATTGAATAAAAAATTATTCTATTCTATTCTGTATATACTAATTAGATTTAGGTTCTTATTTTATTGGAATTTTCGTTAATATGATTTGCGTGTCATGCAAAAGTCATTCTACAAATGAAATAAACAAATTACTTACTTGGTTCGATTTTTATGCACAGTCAGCATCCACCATCGCCTTGCTCTTGGTCTTTTTTTTTATCACTTTGTATTTTTTTACGCATAACATGTAATAGTAACATGCGTTCAAATAATAAAATCCAGCTGAAAGTGCAACGTCCATTTTATAGGTACAACTACTTTACGCTGGCAAACATGTTTCATTTTTTGGTATTTGGCTCCATGTGTGGACGGTTATATCGTTTATTTGCCCTTACGTCAATTTTTTTGCCAAATACGGCAACATGCTATCACAAATACCAAATAGCCATGTGAAGTGCCACTATTAAATTAAGGGGACTCCCATGTATTTGACACTCACAATGTTTTTAATCAGTTAGAGAATTGTATCCATGTAGCTTGCAGAACTGACATCAAGGGGAAACATTATTCTTGAGCAGTAGCCTCATTCTGGTAAGCAAAATTGTGCCCCCCACTAGATAGTGGCAATCTGGTAAGACAGGCAGTCAATTGATTTAGGTGGTTTAGGAGTGTGTTGTTGCAGTGATGATGATTCACTATGTGGTAGGACTTGTTTCTGCCTGGAAGTCTGCCTGCGCAGTGATCATCCTCTTACCTGTTTCTGCCACAAGCAACAGTATGTGTCCCAGCCTGAAGGACATTGAGAGCCAGTCATTTCAATATTATAAAAAATGGTATTGATGAAGAGAATTGTGGTTGCCAATAGATATTATTACTTACTTGTACATTTAAGTAGTTTCCCATATTTATGACGAACTTTCATATTTTCAGAGGGATGAGGATGAGGAGCCCATAATTGTCTGTTTCACCTGTCATGCGAGACTCGTTCGTTGCAGGAGATTGCAACAACAGGTTATTGAGTCGAATGCAGTTCTCCAGCAGTTGCTTGCAGGAGGGTCCATGGTATTATTTATTCCATCTATTAAAACCTGTAAAAGTCCCTCATATATTGTTTCATATGAGGGATTTTGCCAAATTTACCACGCTTGGCAGGTCGGCAACCACAGTTTATATTAGTCTGAGTTGTTATCAGAAAGATGCTGCTGCCCAACTGCTGTTTCTGTTTCCCTCTGTTGCCACTTACGACCTGTCCCGTGGGTAGATATATAGGGCAGTGGATATTCTTACACCGCTACTACACGGTCCACGCTATTATACTTCTTATTAATAAAAGTTCATTGCTTTTTTTTTATAGAAGAGGGGGCAAACGAGCATGTGGCTCACCTGATTTTAAGTGACTACCGCCGCCCATGATCAACCGCAACACCAGGGGAATTGCAGGTGCGTTGCCGGCCCTTTACAAAGGAGTAAGCTCTTTTCTTGAAGGTCCCCAGGTCGTATCGGCCTGGAAAAATCGCCGGTGGTAAATTATTCCACAGAGAGGTTGTACGCGGACGCTTTTGAAACGTACAGTGGTGGACCGCCAAGCATCCAGATGGTGTGGATGATATCGGGACGTTTGCCGCGTAGTGCGTTCACGAAATTTGGCGGCTGGGATTAATCCGAACAACTCCTCAGAGCACTCTCCATGGTATATGCGAAAGAAAATACAAAGGGATGCAACATCTCTTCGCAGTGCCAGTGAATCGAGCCGATCGGAAAGCACTCGGTCGTCGACAATTCGAGCCGCTCTGCGCTGGGTGCGGTCAAGTGGAAGGAGCTGGTACTGGGGAGCCCCAGCCCAGGGATGGGAACAGTATTCCATGTGCGGCCGAACCTGCGCCTTGTAAAGTTGCAGGCGGTGTGCTGGCATGAAACACTGTCCCGCTCTGCTGAGCCCGCCAAGCTTTACGGTTGATGGTTCATTCCCAATATAATGAAGTATTTGTCTTAATCATGACTTGGCAGGCACCTTGATGATCACTACCTGTCTCGTGCCTTCTATGCTGTTTTCCTTTGCCATATGAGAGAATGTTTTTTTTTTACTGCAAAGTTAATTTTCTTAAAGCAATGTTCTATATTTGACGAATTTCATTAAGTACTTATTTTTACATAAATAATTTATGTTATATATTACTCTTTGTATATAAATGAAATATTATCTATAAGTAACAAGTAACTCTAGATAATTTGTCATGACCTATTAAAAATCCTTAAATTCGCAAAAAAAACTTGTGGGCAAAAAAACTATCCTATCTCTCAAGTTGGACCAAATTGCAAACGGTGTGCAAATTCAATTAAAATCGGTTAAGTAGTTTAGGAGTCCATCGCGGACAAACAACGTGTCACGTAATTTATATATATTAAGATCACGCAGTGAACAAATATTAATCATTGTCACTTTACGGCATTTAGGAGTCTGAGACAAATGATTGTTGAGAATCGATAGTCGGGATGGATGACGTATCTACATTCTTTTTTAATTTCATTCTGAACTAGCACGTCTGGATTTCATTATTATTTAAACTTTTTGTCAGGAAGTAGCTGCTGCCCATCTCACGTTTTAGTTTCCTCCTGTCCCTTCTTACAACATCTGCGGGATGGTATGTGGTAGTGTGGATTCTCCTACGCCACCACCTTCTTACAACATCTGCGGGATGGTATGTGGTAGTATGGATTCTCCTACGCCACCACTACACTGGAGTTTTCTCTTATTTTAAAAAAATAATGTGGTTTCAGTCAATACCAAAACCATATGAGGCTAGAGATAAGATTCAATTCACACCAGTTTATCATATAGATATCTGGCCAGTAGAGTGTGATATAGAAAATGATTGTAAGGATAACACTTTCAACCTTGAATCTTTTAAAGTTGAGAAAGAGAATTTCGAATATGAGAATTCCAAATTTGAAGTAAATGGGAATCATGACAAAGGTACGATATACCCTTTTTTGATATTAATAAAATAAGGTACAATTTATCTTATGACAAGTGGTTACTGTAGCCCATGAACACAAAATAAAGATGGCAAAGTACATTTAAAACGCACTCATGGAGAAAGAAAAAAACATATCAAGTAATTATTTGAAAGATAAGCATACATAGACATCATAATAAGCTTTGTTAGACATTTTCTTTTACTTATGTATAAATATATTTATAAATGTTTTGACCCCGTTTACAATTGGTATGCCACCACCTATCTTTGCCAATTTCTTAACCTTGATGGACTCCTTTCTCTTACCTATTTCTGTCGTCAAATAGCAGTGCATGCATTATATATAGAGTCAGTATAATCACAGGCTGTGGGGCATTGCATCTTAGTCGTCAGAGGTGACAGCGCATTGTAGCCTTTTATTTTTCAGGTCAGCTGCAGATAGTCCGTGGACCGCAGTACCCACTTTCCATCAGTTGATTCGGTACATGCCATAAGGTGGACTGTTAGTTTGTTTGTCACTTCATACTAAAAAATATTTGGAGAAAAGGTGCTCAAGGTATCATCTTTGTACTGGCAAGCACTCATCTACTAAAAACAAATTGTGGCAGAACACTAACTAAATGAGGTGAATGAATCGTCATCATCATTACAGCTCTTCACAAGTCCACTGCTGAACATAGGCCTCCCCCAAAGAACACCATGAAGCACGGTCATGAGCCACCTGCAACCATCGACTTCCTGCATGTCTTACTAGGTTGTCACTCCATCTTGAGGGGGACCGACCTACATTTCGTCTACTGGCACGAGACTGCCACAATTATTTCACATTAGGAGAACGACTCTTCTCCATCGGTTGTCAGCTCTTCGGCCCATTGCCACTTCATGTTAATACACTTAGCTTATAAAACATGCAGTATGCTAATGAAAGAGGGTGGCTCGAGCCCATAAGCTGTGTGATGGACTGTAATGATCTAGTCGTTTGGAAAAAATATCAGTTTTTATTTTATATATTGAGTCAAATCCATTCAGATACTGCTGAAAAACAAGAAGACTTGGAGATTGATGCTTTTGAAGATCGACATA